TTTTTTTCCTTCCAGTTGCTGTGGCAAGTGAGTATGCCTCCAAGAGTCTGGATAAATTGGGAGAAAAGCTTCAACTCCTTCAAAACCCAGTGGAACAGGTAAGACTCAAAGGCTGTGCACTCAAGGGCTGACAGGCCTGGTTCTCACAGGGCTTCTAACCTTGGGAGTGGAGTAGGCTCTTGTATGAGGAACAAATTACCCCAAGATGCATAGTGCAAGCTCCTACAGGAGTAAATACTTAGCAGACACTGTGCTAATTGTCCCCTTGGTGCAGTTCAGAACTGTGGTGTACTGCACAGTCCCATGTGATGTGTCCTTCCACAGATTATTGCTGACACAAAGGAGCGGATCTCATCCGGAGTGGCTGCTGCCAGGGATGCTGTGAGCAGCAAGCTGACAGGTGTGAGAGATGTGACAAAGGAGACTCCTCAGAGCAGTGTGGAGGCTGCCAGATCTGCAGTGCCCAGCAGTGTGGGGATGGGCACGGACTCTGGAGTTGGCCAGGCAGCAATAAGTGGAGCAGAAGCTGTGCTGGGGAGAACAGAAGATGACTCTCTCCCTATTGGAAATGAGGAACTAGGTAAGGAAACAGTATGTGTGACTGTCTGCAGTGGGAACCATCACACTGGGGATGGTCAGCCCCGTTCCTCACCACACTGCTCTGGAGTGGGGCTAATGGGAAGTGCCATGCTGCAGGCTACCTGGCTCCTAGTCCAAGATCTCCTGCTACCTGCTCACTAACAGTCTCTGGGCAGCCACTTTACAGATACTGTCTTTTTCCTCAGCCAAACTGGCAGCCTCTGAGGAGGGTGCAGACATAATGCCTGTGGAGCAGCAGCAGGAGAAGAGGAGGTACTTTGTGCGTTTGGGGTCTCTCTCTGATGAACTTCGCCCGTTTGCCTACCTGCACTCAACAGACAAAATGAAGAGGGTCTGGCAGGGCATGCAGGAGGCCCTTGCACAGCTTCATGGTGTCCTTGAGCTGGTAGGTAGAGCACCATCTCCTGGAAGGACGGGACAGAATTGTTGGCTTGATCTCAGTTCTGTAGCTGTGATAATGATTGGTGCTGTTCACCAGCAGACCTGTCTTGACGCTCTGATCTTGCCCTCATGCAGATTGAGGTGTTTAAGCAAGGATTTAATCAAAAGCTTCAGGAAGGACAGAAGAAACTGCACCAGATGTGGCTGGACTGGAGTAGGAAGTCTTCCAAAGAGAGTGGAGATGAAACATCTGCAGAGCCAGAAGTATGTCTCTGGGGAGGAAAACAAGGGCTCTGAGCATCCCCTTGACTTTAAATTATTTTAAAGTGACTAATTCCTCTGATCTTGTCCTTCCTCCTCCCAGGAGATGGAGTCTCTGGCCCTGCTCATGGCATGCAATATCACACAGCAGCTACAAATCACCTGTTGTAAAATAGTGTCTGCAGTCCAAGGCCTTCCTTCAAGCCTTCAGAATAAGGTGAAGCAATCTCTTACCACCATAGAGGAGCTTCATGCTTCTTTCTTGGCAGCAAACTCCATCCAGGACTTGCCCAGCAGTGTCTTGACCCAGAGCCAGAAGAAGCTGGCTGTGATCCAGAAGTACATGGAGGAGCTGCTGGACTACCTGAAGAACAACATACCTCTGTCCTGGCTAGTGGGACCCTTTTGCCCCAGGGAGGTGGAGGAAACATCACGGGAGGATGATGCCCCCCAGGAGGAGGAGGTAGAGAGAACAGAAACAGGGCATCATGAAGCCTCCAACACTCTCATGTAATAGATAAGATCCTAAAGCCTTGGCATGAGTCTGAGAGTTTGGTCCTTAGCTTTACACAACCCCACTCCTGAGGGTGGTGTTGTCACATCCTGGATGATTATTGGATACTGGTGAATTTGGATACTGGTGAATAAATCCTTAGCAGCTTTTAAGGAAGGTGGTGGAAGTAACAGGGCCACTAAGTGCTTGTATAACTGTCTTTAGGAATTCCAGCTGAGATCTGGGCCAGAGGGAGATCAGAGCCAAAGCTCTGCAATGCTCTTGCCTCCCTAGCAAGCTGTCTATGCTCTGTCCTTCACTGGGGTATCCAGTGCTGCCTGTGGTCAGTAAATGATTGGTCTTGAACCCTCAGCTGGTACAGTGTAAACATCTGTCTTCCTAAAAGCTGTTTGTATTGGCTCATAATTGCTTAAAATAAAACTCCTGCATGCAAAAAGTGTCTCCAGTCTTTCTTGGAGAAAGGAAGAGTAAGCACTGCTCAACAGATGTGAACTCTGCTCTTCCAGTCTGTTCCTTGGTGCTGGGACAGTGCCCTCAGCAATGCAAGAGCTGGTGGCCAGTGGTGCAGCAGGGATCACATCTGGTAAGCCCTGCTACTGTGCTGGGGAGCACCAAACTAATTCCTTCTTACTCAAACTCCATTCTTACTCCCAAACTTGGAGCCATGATGTGCCTTCCTGGCACTTCCCCACGACTGGAGAAGCTGTGGGGAGCTGTTGGGATCCTGGGACCCCTTGTCATTAGTCCTCCTAGGTCTAATTTTCCTCCTATTGTTGTCTGCTGCTAGCTGGTGAAGTCTTCATGGTTAGTGGTGTGAAAGTGGACTCACTGATGGAGAGTCATTAGGGTTTAGGTGACATGTTACTGTCACCACTGACGTCTCCTGGCCAGATGCTTCAGCTGAACTAAGAGCTCTTCAGCATGCCAAGAGTCTTCTCTCCTAAAGAGGCTGAACAACCCAGTGCTTTCAGGCTTGCAAGACAGTAATGTAGTTAAGGCAGATTAATGTAGTTAAGGCAGATGGACTAATGTCTATTGAACTCCTAAATGAAAAGCTCTGGTCCTTGCTTCTCATCTTTCTGTCTTCAAGGAAGGAAGTGGAACCTGCTCCCAAGGTGAGTACTGTTTCTTCCACACTCATTTTTAAAATGATGGTTAAAATTCTTGTTTCATGGAGGGCTTGAGGAGAGCAAGGACAGACTTGAAGAGATGGACTTTCCTCCTCTCTTAAACAGATGTGACTGCTGTTCCAACAGCACCCCTCATCCTGCACTCCTGTGTATAATGGCTTTGTGCTGCACTGTGGCAGGACCACGTGGTCCTTGGGGTTTGGTATTAGTTATTCCATTGATACAATACCCTGATGTAGCAAAGATCTGGATCCAATTTCACTGAGCTCAACATGTCAGAGAGGCTATTGGACAACTGTCCAACCTATTTTCTCATGTAGTAACTAGTTTATACTAAAGGCAAAATAATAAGGCCATCTAAGCTGCCAGGCCAAGCTGTTATTGAGGGCTGAGAGATAAATTGCAGGGTCCACCTCTCCACTACAGGCTCTCTGACTACTGTTGAGCAATTTCTCTCTGCAAAGAGCTTGAGGAGAGGCAGATCCAGTCTGCCTGATGTAATTACAGCTGGATTTGCAGGGTGGGGGTGGAGCACTAGCTGCCAGCAGCACTGGAGATGGTCCTGCTGCTTGGTGGGAAATACAGTACATGTCTTCTTGATGGCAAGCTGCACCTTCCTTCATAGGAGGAACCAAACTGTTTTTAAACTTGCCTGGCTAAAAGCTCTTTAAGAAGTAGCTGGATGTTGCTGATCTTGATATTGATTTGTCAGTGTAGCAAATCTGATCTATATTAATATAGTGCTTAGCCAGGCAAATCATGCTGCTTCTGCTCATGGATCACTGGGGCATATTCTTGCTTGTTGATTAAACCTATTTCCTGCCAAAACTGTTGGCTGCTCTTCCCTTGGGAGCCTGGTGCACTGCTTGTGGGCTCATCTCAAGTTGCAGCTGGGAACTTAGATGCTGCATGTGGTTTGGGTTCTGCTGGAGCTGATACAGGACACCCCAGCAGCTCTAAGGCTTTTGTGGGTCTTCTGCAGTTACAGTCCCAATGGCCTACAACAAGGTTAAATGATGTTCTCATGGCAGCACCTAAAGCTCTCCTTAAAAGAGGAGACTAAGTGGAAGCCTCTGGATACATTTTTGCCCCTCCTTTAACTTCCAAAGATTCAGAGAACCACGGAGATGTGCTACACCAAACAAGAAGACACAGCTCTGACCAAGACTAGTCACAGATGGAAGAGTTTGACTTGCTTATTTCTTCTTCCTCTTCTGGTCTCATCCACGCTGTGTGGACAGCAGGGCAATAAAGGTGATAAACTGGGAATGACAAATGGACTGGCTTTTTGCAAGGTTTAAGATAAGTTTCTATCTGGGAAAGTATCTGAATTGTTCTCCATTTTATCCAAGGTCGTCTGGCTATCCACATTTATTTTTGAGTCATCCTGGTTAGATATAAGAAATGCATTGGTAATGTGACAACCTTAGACAAAAACCTTAGCAGGGAAGACATGTTTTGAGGTCTCTTCTGGCTCTCAGCAGTCCTTGGGAAGGATGTAGTGTTCATTGATTCTGATAATTATAGCCCAAGTGATTATATCTTACCTTCCCCTACTGCTGTTCCTCCCCACTTATGTTGTGGTCACATATGATAGCTCAGTTATAGGCTGATTTGAATTTTAAATGCAATCACAGGGGCACTTGCTTTTGTTTCCCTCCTGGTAGATGCCATCATTTCTCTCTGCCAGTTTGCTTAACATTTTAATTGTTTAATTCTCACATTCATGTACTTTTGTCTGTCTGTATTCAGTTCCTGCTGTTCACTGTTCAGCTGTCTGACTTCTAGGTCAGGATGTGTGCTGGCATTGGGTGAAAGCTGCCTTGAACACAGCTCCAAAAGGCTGCCACTTCTCATGAGTGACATTAGGAGGCTTTAGTCAACATGTTAATGTGACCCCTAACTGGTAAGGGTAACTGCTTAAGGAGGGTTTCCCAAGCAGCTTTGTCATGAAGGCAGTAGGTTGGGAAACTGAAGTTCTCAGCCAGTGCTGAAAGGCAGAAGCTCTCTAGTTGCTTGCAGGGACCTTCATTTCTCATCTCACTTCCACGTTTCATGACACACTTGGACATTGTCATCTCTTCTGCAAAGGCTGCACTAGAAAGAAGACACTCCCAGTGTGGGAGCACAGTCAGGCTGTGGGCCCTGCTCTGCTGGGTGCTCCTGCTGCTGTCTGATGTGGGCAGGCAATTTCATTTTGCTGGTTAGCACTTATCCCTGTGCTTTCCTGTTGTAACCTTCCCCATCTGCTCCCTTTCCCACTGCACCTTCTTTCCTTGCACTAGAGGAGGAAACCAAGTGTTTCAGAGCATGAGAAACCTGAAAGGACTTCTCTGTACTTGGAGCTGGATTGTGCCAACCTGAAACCATCGGGTGACACCAGCATGGATTTGGGAGCCTCTGAGAACATACATTTGTTTGCCATGGAGGGACATAGGTGCTTGTAGGAGTATTTTGCAGTGACCTCTATCCCCAGCTGAATTGCAGCAATGCTTTCCCAGTTAAAATCTTTGCTGGCATCAACATTCAACTCTTCCTTCTTTCAGAGGCTCCTGTCAGGGGACTCTTCTGGCAGGTCCTGGTAAGACTTTGAGCTGGACAACTTGCCTTCCCTCTGTACCCTATGGATGGCAGGGGAGGGAAGAGGGTCAATAAATCTACTTCAAATTGCCTTACAAACCAAGCGTGAACTTGTGACAATTCCAATATGGTCTTTGCATGGCTTGTTAAAGCCCCTGATGCCTCCAGGAGTGACAGGCACCTGACCTGATCGATAGCTCAGCTGCCCTTTACTGCTGCAAACAAGGCAAAGCACCTTCTGTGAATACAGAGCACTGCCAGCAAATAATTACCCTTGTTGTGGTGCTTTCTGGACACTAGTGTCTGCCCCTGCGGTAACGAAAATCCATTTGCAGCAGCAGTTAGTTTGCAGTATTGACTTCCAGGTCTCCCTCTGATTCCTGTATTTATTTAGATTCAGCAATGGCTTGAGGTTTGCCAGCAGTGAATTTGGAGGGGAGGTGATCCAGAGAGGGGTTAGCAATCGGAATGCTGACATAGTTGGAGTTGATACTATCCCCAGTAGCAAGACTCTTGTTTTTGCCTGTGTTGAGCTTGGCTCATAAACTCTGCTGGGAGGTTGGTACAGGATGGGAGATGGGCACATTGCTGCCCCGTCCTCCCCACGTGCCCCTACCATGCCCTGGAAGGTGTGGTGGTGGCATGCTAAAGGTGATTGTCTGGAAAAGCTAAGTGAAGGCAAGAAACTGCAAGGAAGGAAAGGGTGTGGAGGAGTTTGAAGCTAAGGCTAGGGAGAGGTAGAATGGGGAAGCAGGAGGAGGAGGTGCCATGAGGGCTGGTGACAGAGCAGGTTGAGAGGCTTGATGGAAAGATAGTAGATTTGGAGCAGAAACGGTAAGAATTCAATAAGCATGGGAGAGGAGGGTTACACTGAGTGTCTGGGTTCACCTGGGGCAGGACTTGGGCAAGGTGATGAAGAATGGAGGGCAGGAGAGGAACCAGGTGGCAGGGAGGTGGTCTCCTTTTCTTAAGGGTATTGTGTATGTATATTATCAAGTTGTTTTCCTGGGTGTCTCAGAACAAGGCAAAATAGTAATTCTGTCTTTTGGTGAGGAAAACATTCTCTTGCAAAAGGGACAGCAGGAGATCATTGCCCAGTAACCACTTCTGCATGAACTATCCTGCAGGGTGCTATCATCACACAGGATTTTACAGGTTTTACAGAAGCTGCTCTTCCCTTGGATGAATTGGTGAAATACCAACTGCCTTGCAGCTCACAGTGGCCCTTCCCCCAACAGAAAAATAAAATTGTTTGGTTTTGTGTGTGCTGGTCTTTGCTAAAACACCACT